CTGTGAAATAAATTGAACATGCATTGAATAATTTCTGAAACAGTCAGATTTTGCTTAATGCTGTGATACATAGCAGGAGATACACTAGAAATAATAAGAAAAATGCTCTATGGTGTAAACAGTCTAATTTTAGAGTCCAAGGTCTTTTAGGGGGACTAGTGATAAAAAACAGTAAGTTTTCTTTCATAAAGACAACCTGGAGTTGCTGATACCATTCTTGTAAATTAATGCCATCTATCCTCAGCTTTGGGAAGTCATTGGGCAAGTTTCCGACATTATTAGGTCCATTACTTACAACCTGAGGTAGTCCGTGGTCTCACAAATGCTGAAAGTTACAAAACGGCGTGGGGATGCTCGCGACGAGCCTGCACGGTCTTCTCAGCAAGTCATGTCTTCCTGGACCGTCTGCGTAGTCTTGCGCATGCGCGTTGTCCATTTCGTTCCTGGAGTCGTCGTGAGAGGTTCTCGTCGTTGCGGCTCGCTCGCTCTGTTCCTCCTCAGACGAATCGGTCTCTGGCTCGATCTTGGGAGTTCTGACGATGGCAGCTGCTCTTCCTCTCCTTTTGAGAGCGTTGGTGCTTGCTTCGGTCTGTGGCGTGGGACGGTATCGGCAGGGCTCTCTGGGTTCGGGCGTCGGCGTTCTCGTAGTCAGGATGGGAGCGTGTAGGTTTTGAGGCATTGGCTTGCTCGCTTGCTTCTTAGTTAGCTTTTTGGTAATTTTTAATTTTGGCCCAAATGCAGCAAAAAGCGTTTTCATCGCTGATTTTATCTGATTGTCTGTTGGATCACCTTCACTTTCCGATTCTGATTCTTCTGAGGTGTTTGAATTTTCTTTTTCGTTTTCGTTGTCTGGTAATGTTTTTCGCGCCAGAAATTTTGAATCGAGTTTTCTGATTGGCTCTGCTTCGCTCACCCTGTTCTGTTGAAACCAAGATGGCTGCCATTCAAAATTTTGCGCGGGATCACCGTTTTTCTTCTTCATAGTAATTTTTTCTGTAGTCATATCACTCACTATTTTTGAGTCTTTTGGTTTTTCGGTAGTGATGTGCTTCTCTCTCGCTGCTCCGCTCTTCTTCAGCATATCTTGGAGTTTCGCGATGAGGCTTTCATCATTCTTCTGGCTCTTTAATATTTTTAATATCTCTGACCTGAGTTCGTTGTTTTCTATTTTGATTTCCTCCCGATCATTATTTTCATTTATTGTTTCTTCGTCTTCAGTGGTGTATTCTTCGGATTCTCTCGAAATTGCGTTTGTGGATTCGTCGATTATTTCTTGGTCCGTTTCCATTTCTTTGCTGTATGCCCTGGTGTTGGGCCTATCTCTTTTAGACATTCTTTTTAAAATTTTTCTATTGAGTCAATTAACCATCCTCTGCTACCAGCTTGTTGCAATGTTTTCAGGATCAGACTCAATAAAATCTAGTAAGAGTTAAAGGTTTGAATATTTCTCCTTTATTTACATTAGGCATTCTATATTCACTGAATATTCACAGATAGAAGCGAGGAAAAGGGTACGTGCAGCTCCTTATATATACAATGGGTGGAGCTAGGTGTGGGAGTGGTGAATTATGAATACATTAAGAAGTGAAGAATAAATTAACCCCTGATACCCCGTTCATATGCTATTTACACATTAGAGAATAAGGCATTTACATGTGACAATCCAATTCACTCGTATCCTCTCTCTCCCTCCCCAATCCATCGCAAGCCACTCCAGTTCCGCGCTGCTCTGTCTTTCCTTAAAGTAATGGATGGGGAGAAACTGCTTCAGTGCATGCCCCTGAAGTCATCTAACATGTGGCTGGGGAGTCGCAGTGAGAGGCATGCCTCGGGGCTGCCGACCCAGCAGAGCAGGCACACAGGAAGGGGCATTGACGAAAGTGTGCAGCAGCGTAACGGTGATCCCCACACGAATGGCAGCCCCAAGTACCATCGCAGATCTGGGGCTGACAGTATTTTTCTGAAGATCCAGCTCAGTAGGCAAGTTTTCTTCAGTAGGACTCATGCAAGTATGGTTGGTTTGGTGCCCACTATCACTTATTCCTTGCAATAACGCTCTTAATCCAACTGATAGCTTTACCTTCTACTTATTCTTGTTCACATTAAAGGAGAACAAGAAATTGTATCTTGGAGGGAAGAATTTTTTGGAAAATGGTAGATATTGTTCCTCTTTTTTTGCCCATCCTTCTCCACTTTTCAGAAGAAGCCACTGTAAGGGACAAATTGAAGAACACCACAGAAGGATTCTCTTGTCATGCCACGTTCTACGGTTAAAGGAAGCAAGAATCACTCGGGCTTCAACTGGGAGTTTTTAATGCAAGTTTTAGGGGTCAGATACAGAATCTTGGAAACTGCCATTGGAACCTCCAGACTTTATTTTATTAATGAGTTCATTAAGGAGGAATCTCTTGAATGTTTTGAATCTTTTCTTTTGGGACTTTTTCAGCCTGGACTGAAGTTTATGAGATAAGCAGCTGCAAACAAACTCCTCTCCTCTCCTCTCCCATCTGTTTAAAGTTTCTCCTGTTTCTTTCTCATCCTCCTCAAACACTCTCACATTAGAGCGTATTTCTTTTGTTTTACATTCAGCTTGAGAGAGAGAGAGATGATGGAAGTCTGAGTTATAGGACATTTTCTCAACTCATTTGTAGCTTCAGGGTTTTCTTCTTCCTGAGCTGTAGAATGAATACAGTTGGGTTCATTGGGAACAAATTACTGATCCAAGTTGGATTATTTTGCTGTCTGGATTTGGCATTGCCATAGTATCAATGACTAATAGAGATGAATCATGAAATTTCTATGGCTCAGGTTTTTCCCTTTACAGTTTTGGGTTAGGCTGGATTCGTCATATAGGTAGCAGTAGCAATCCTAATCATACATGTGTCTGTTCTCTACTTTTGCAATCCCTGAACATCTTGCCAACACCCAGGGTTGGTATTCACTTACTTTCCCTACCGATGTGCAAATGTGAGTGCGTGCGCATGCGCCCGGCCTAAAAAACGTGACTAAATAGGATGGCATAGAGCTGGGGGGGGGGAGAGACCTGCAATTTCCGCTACCAGTTCGGGCGAATTGGTCCGAACCGGCTGAATACCACCTCTGCCAACACCTGAAAATTAAGGTTCTTATCAAAGGTATGCTAGTACCTTAGATCTCTTCACTTGATCACATGAGGATGGGAAGAGGAAGCCTTCTATCTTAAATATTTGCAGTAGATCAATGTGAATTTCGGGTTCTCCATATCACTGGAGTACAATAAAACCTTATCGGAATATGGGACTTTATTGGAAAATTATGGATCAAATACATCCCCATCTTCATTCTGAATGGCCTCAGTCATTTGTAACAAGCAACAGATAGCAAAAGTTTGCATACAGAGCTATATAACAATTTCAACTATGATCCTTTCAATATACACAGTTCCTCTTTTTTGTGTTCCGTAGCAGGCATTTTGCTATTTATTCTGAAGGATTTAGTCCAGATAATTTAATGTGTAAGATCTGTTTTATTTGTTTGCTTCTCTTAGAATCCAGAGACGGTAATTGACATAAAAATTATGTTGGGGAATATAGTGAGTTCAAGACGAAAACCATGCTAGTTTTCAAAAATTTGCAAAGAGGAATTGTTTTTCTTACTCAAAGGCTTGTTTGACTTTTCCAGTAATAAAGCATCCATCCGCTTGAAGTTGTCTCGAGTCTGCATTATGTCATGCTTTATTTGAGGTTTCTCCGTTCCTCGGGTCTGTTGAAAATGCACAACCTCAGCAATGTGGTTGGCAGGCACGTTCCATGGCTCTCTTTCTGACACACTGATCATCATATGACATCAGCCCCGAGCAACCATGTGTGTAAAATATTTAGCATGTAAGCAGGTTAGGACAAGGGTTTTTTCTTGCTGAGAAGTCATAATTCTTTGGGGGTTGTACGTAGTAAGCAGAAATCTGTGAGCCAGACAAAAGAGAGAAATTTTTAATCAGGCAGCACAGCAGAAGTCTAATTTTGCTCACGGATTGACATTTGTTTCATGTACAGCAGAAGAAAAGCCTAGGTAGTGGCTCTGCCTGGATAGTATCGTTATACAGTTTAGGCAGTAGATGGCACTGGCTTAATTATATCTGATAGAGAAAAAAACCGCTGCATTATTTCTATTCTGATTGGAAACAAGTCTCATTTTTTCACTAATGTGACTTTCTAGACCAGGGAGAAGAAAAAAAAAAAAACCAGCTCCAAATGCTAACATTGTTCTTCTGTGGACTTTGCAACATCCCAATGTTTTGCCAATATTTGTCCGTGACTAGATGGGAGAATATATAAGCAGTTGGTGATGATATGTAGAAAGCTGGATTCCCAGGAGGGAGGAGGTACATTCCAGAGAAATAAGAGGCAGATCAGTTCAGACCATTTGTGTGAAAGAAAGAGAATAAAAATAGTCCCTCCCTAATAGTTCACGGAGTATATGCTTGAGATAGAGAGCAGAGGGCTTTAATCAGGCAAGATTCTGTCTATAGGTATAGAACAATAAAGAAATTTATATGGAAAAATAGCTACATATCTTTCTTGGTTTTTGAGCCAGACACAACTAAGACCAGAGAGTCTCAAAGTGTGATCTGGCACCCTTTCAGGAGGCCAAGAAGTCAATAAATAAAGATTTTTAAAATTCTCTGTTTTAATTTTTAAAACAATAAATATTAATAGATACAACCCACACAAAACAAAGCTCCTTGGGGTCCTCAATCATTTTTAAGAAGGTAAGGGGGTTCCGAGACCAAAATATTTGAGAAATGCTCTAGACTATAATTTCCATTACATCTTCAACAAGAAAAGCCCCCTTCACTTCCACAGAGGAGGGCAACACCATTTGTGTCTGATCAATGCATCTGCCCAGCAGGAAGCAAGAATAGATGATGTTGTTGCGTGTTTCCGAGGATCTAGCCCAATAACTACAACGCAGGATAGTTTGATTCAAAAGGTATTTATTTACACCATACTTGTCTCTTACAGGTGAACATCTGGAGTGCAGTCTGGACTCTTGGGCAACACCTTATATACCTGGGAGGCGGAGTCAAGGTGAGGAGGGATCAAGGGAAGGATTAGGAGGGATGGGTAGTGTTAACCCTTGCCCTGCCATGAGTGCACAGTCTTAGGCATTTGTATGTAACAGATGTTGCTCAGGTATTTCTGATGGATTGTATTAACTTGATATGTCACAGGTGGTATTAATGGAGACATCAGTAGAAATAAGATTGTGTTTCGGCAGATTTTGCAAATATGGAATTATTCATGCAAATGTGCACAGATATACCTACATGTCCAAAATAGAATTCATACATCACACAATGTTATAATAAGCTTTGTTTTGGTCTGGCTTGCTGCAACAGGGTGAATCTAGCCATTGTAATTATTTTTGTTAGCATTGTCACATATCAATCAATCAAGCAATAATTCAATCCAAACTCCCCATTAGGGAATAATGCCCATTTCTTGACTTTGTTGCATTTGACATACCTTAAGACGTCCATTTCCTATCTAGTTAAAAAATATATTAACATAGGGGAGAATTCTCCTCCTCTTGGAAATCCCATAAGTAGCCAGCAGTGGCATTCCCAACAGATCACTCTTCACCGTTTCTATGTTAGTTACCTATTATTATTCCATGTGCCATTTGCTGTGTTACTTGTTCTGCTTTGAAGATTCAGAGGTTCAGACCTATGACCTCCAAATGAGTTGGAATATAGCTGTCATCATTCCCAGCCAGCATGACCAACATCAGTCAATGAATAATTATTGTGCATGTATATTCTTGCATTTAATTATAAGCTAACAAAGATTTTTTTTTTGTTTTATGAACTAAAGGTGTCTTAAGGAGGCATCTCATTTCTCTCCAAATGGTTGTCTCAGTTCAGTCACTCTTCCTGATGTCCAATGTAATAGGGTCGAAATAAGAAACCAATTTTTTAATGCGAAAAATAATTTCAATTATTTTATCACACTGATTCTAATCATACCCTATAGCCGTGATTTCACTACTATTTTTCAGGGTATGCAAAAATGTCACAGATTATCAGGGATAAAGTGTACATTTGGAACAAGTGCATATATTAGAATGTTATGTATACATTCCTTGTTTCAAAGAATTCTCGGAGAGAAGCTCTCCCAGTTTTGTTTATCTAGGATTTGCTCTCTTTTTACATCATGGCTTTGGAGTTTCATACCTCAATGGAATAATTAAAAAAAAAGTTTGTTAGTCTTTCTGCCAACTTTACAATTCCATAAGCCTGCTAGGATTTCCCTTGTGTTTGGAAGGTGCTGTTTAAACTACATGAGTACAGTAAGGATTTCTCACATTTGAAAAGAGATGCAATACAGTTTGCACATCTCATATAGATAAAAAGAACAAGAGAAAAATTCCTGAGGATAACAGTGTAATAGCCTATTTTCCCCAAAAATAAGACCCTGTCTTATATTTTTTTTTGCCACCAAAAAAGGCACCAGGTCTCATTTTCGGGGGATGTCATCCATTGGCTAACCTCACTTGCGAGGCAGATGTCAGAGTGTGCGAGACCTGGCTACAACTGTCCAAAGGTAAGTAGTAGGGCAGCTCCATCCCCCATCCCCATCCTAGCTTAATTCTTACCCCTGCACACTGGAGTGGATGGGATGTTAATTAGGGCTTATTTTGGGAGTAGGGCTTATATTGGGCGCATGTGTAAAATCAAGCTAGGACTTACTTTCAGGGTAGGTGATATTTTCGGGAAAACAGGGTACTGTTTACCTATGGAAATTGTGAATTCTCCATATTTGGAGGTTTTTAAGAAAGGGGTTGAATAGCTACTTCTTATGGATATTTTAATTGGTTTCCCTGCACATATTTATTTATGTATTATATTTGTATGATTCTGGATGGCTAACAAATAGTAAAAAGATAAATATAAAGCAACTAAAGAGGACCAAGAGGACCGACAACATAGGAATGGGATTTTTTTTCTTACCCCGTCAACCACCTCCAGGGTATAGTGCCCCCCTCAGGGCCCCCAAGCCAGCCAGCAAAATCACATCGTAGAGCTTTGGACCAAAAAATCCTTGTGATCCTTTCCAAGTCCCTAGTTCTATGATTCTATGATTAATGCCCTAAAAAACCATAGATGGGTGTTATTAGATATGACTTTTACATCAGGTGCTCTGAAGGCCTATCAGTATATAAGCACATAAATCACTACTACTATTTCTAACTGCAAAATTTATTTATTTATTTATTTATTTTATTAAATTTTTATACCGCCCTTCTCCTACTGGACTCAGGGCGGTGCACAGCCAAAATAAAAACATCCCAATACAAAATTTAAAATTTGTTAAAAGAATTACACAACTTTGACCTAAATTTAAAATCCTGACTAAAACCCATAGACAATTAAAAATCTAACATCTCAAAAAGGAGGGGGGGGGTTTACGCCAGCCCAACCAAAAGATTGGTTGCACAATCTTTTTTTAAGAATTTCACTTGATCTGTTTCATTCAAACCATTAAAATAAGGGGTTAGGGTTTTTTTTAACAAAAAAAATCATTTATAGCTTTTCCTTAGGTCAATGTTTAAGATGGGCTGTTGAATACCTTTGCAATGTCAAAATCATGTCATGGGTGCTGTGACTAAATGCCCAAGGGTAGTGAAATGTATATGTTCTCAAAATGGCTGCCTTCGAATTCTTAATCAGTCACTCCATGGATCTCAGAGCCCTTTCAAGATGTTCTCATTCTCTGCTGCTTAAAGGTTTTGTGGGTGTAGATGGCTAGCCATACTTTCAAATAAAGCAGCTTTTTCCAAGCGTGTTGCTGCTTTTGGAAAATGTAGACATTGTTAAGATACATTTTTTTCTTCATTTTCTCCTAGGTATTTGCCAGTGTTTGCGGGATGAGAAGAACACAAATCAGTATTTTGGTAAATGGCAGTGCTGCTGTTTTTGGCCAGATCCCAATATCTTTAAATAACTGAAAACATTATGTTCAGTGGCAACTTCTGTCCCTTTGTATTTTTACACATAGATAAGTTCCACAAACGTTTAGTGTGCTTCCTCAAATGAGCAGCCAAAGGATTACAAAATCTTGGGGATGATTATGATTAGATTTTGCTCAAAATAGCAGGCATGAGACTCGATTTATAGCGTACTTATATTCCATTAGCTTTTCTCACCAAACATGTACCAGACATGTACCAGTCCAACTTCCTTATGCTATTTTCTCTAACTATTTTTATAATTAGTCTTTTGGGTCATTGTAGCTTCCCGCCATTGTTGAATATAATGTGTGGCACAGCTGAAGTATTAGCAGTTTCCTTTGTAAGGTTCTTTTACAGAGAAACTGCATCATGCTATCAGCATGAAAAATAAAACAGACTGGTTTTCTCTTACGTATTTTGAAAGTGACTAGTAAGGATTGAAAGTGACTAGAAAGGATTAAGATCAAGTTTGCTGATAATATCCAAAGAAAGGAAGGAAGGAAGAGGAACAATTTCTGTTTCAGTTAAGTATCTGGTGAACATGAAGCAATTTTTAAAAAGAAATATACATCAAATATAAAAAAAGAAAGAAGATGTTTGATTCTATGCATGTTTGCCAATAAAAAAACCAGAATAAAAAGTTAAACATGAGAAGCCACAACAATCACAACCTGCAAATGTAGTACTATCGGTCATAAAGAACATTTTGTGGTCATTTTGATGCTTCCTAGTTCTCTTGAGCAAGTTAAATGTTGTAAGTCACCTGGAGTCACATATATGTGAGTTGGACAGCACATCCAATAGTAAGTAGTGTGGTGCCTCTTGTTTACATTAGAAAGACTACGGACACAGTACCATTTATGTGTTTAGAATTTTAGAATATTTTTGCAACTGCGGTGCCTTGTGTTCCAATGTAGAGCCTCTCCAGGTTACTCCAGGAGTAACAAATACTTCCAGCATGCAATTACTGATACCTGTTTGAGTGGTCTTAAGTAGATTTCAGTTAGAAAAAAAAAAATTGGCCTCTACAACAGAACTCTTGCAAGAGACATGGCATCCAATTAGCCCCTTGCCATAAAAAGAACATGGATGTGTCCTCATAGACCTTTAAATTCAACTTTGGGCAGACTTTTTAGCCCCTTTCCAAGGAGAGTTTGCATCTAGTTAACCTTTCCTGGCAGAGCAAGAATTTCTGTCAGCGGAAGAGAGAAGAATGATCCCCTTTGTTCTTTGTTTCCACTTCAATGGCACTCTCTCAAAGCCTGCTTTGCAGAAGTGGGAGACCCTGCAGGCCATATTTCAAACAGAGCCTGTTAGAACTGTTAGATCTAATATTGATATAACCCTTCATGTAATATCCATGAGTGTCAAGGATGTGTTGAACTTACATGTGTGTGCCTATGTATGCCTTGACGAGTGGCATTATTGGTTGACCTTGTTTGGCTTTGGAGGATAATCATGTTCAGCCCAAGATAGTACTTGGATGGGAAACTTCCAGAGACTTCCTTTAAGGTCTAAGCAAGAATGAAAAATCCCAGAAGAAGACGGTGGAAAACCACTTTCATACCATTGACAAGAAAATCACAATAATTATATCCATAAACTCAACTGTTGGTGACTTTATGGACACGTTCATATGGTTTTCTTAGCAATAGTCTCTCTCTTTCTCTACACACACACACACATCTATCTATCTATCTATCTATCTATCTATCTATCTATCTATCTATCTACCTACCTACCTACCTACCTACCTACCTACCTACCTACCATCTAACCCAGTGGTGGTGAACCTATGGCATGCGTGCAAGAGGTGGCATGCAGAGTCCTCTCTGTGGGCACAGAGCTGCAGCTCAGCTCTGCCGTACATGCGCATGCGCCAATGCCAGCCAGCTGGTCTTCAAGTCTCTGCTGCACATGCTGGGGGACGGGGCCCATGCGGGGGGCCGTGCTCACATGCGGGGGTGCATTTGGGGGAGGGTGGAGCGGATTCAGGGGCCACACATGCATGAGCAGAGTGGGTGGGCTGCATGCAGGGGGCCATGTGTGCATGCGTGGGCCACATGCAGGGGGCCATG